ATCGAAACAAGTTGTAAAATAATTGTCAATACTGAAATCGAGAAATTATTTTATAACCTTTTAGAGAAGTCCAAAAACGCTATATTCCCAAGATTGGTATTTTGGGGGCTTGAGCACGTGTTTCAAACAGTTTGGGAAATATTAAATATTTTGGATTCTAATTGAGTAGATATGTCCCTACGAGAAATTATCAATATTAGCCTATGCTTCCGGGTAGCCCCCATAGAATGGTAACCTCCATTATTCGGCTTTTGAATTCACTCTAATTTAATTTTTCAGATTCTTATGGGTTGCCACATCTTTCTACCAAAAATTATCAATGTCAGTTTACGGTTTTGGCATAGCTCCCATAGAACCTGACCATACAATTTTTTGGTATTTTAAAGACTATGAGCCATATATCCTATTTTTTGCCATAATTAGAGCAGTGGGAATAAATATCACATATAGGTGTGTCGGGGACGACAATTAAGATTCTTCATGAAAAAAATGCACATAGTATTCTATCCTTCTCCGAATTTCAAAACTGATGTCATTCGTTTTATTTATGACGGTACCAAGGTAATAAAATCTTTGACTACCTCGAAGCTGTAGTTCTCAAGTTCCACAGTTGGTCCGAGTCTACTGGACGTCTTGCGCGTTGATACCATCAGCTTGGTCTTCTTGCCGTTTACTGCCAGACCCATTTTGGCAGACTCATTCTCAATTTGTTCAAAGGTGGCTGTTACCGCTCTCAATGTTCGACCCATTATGTCGATGTCATCGGCGTAGGCGCGTAACATGTGTTGTTTGGTGTATAGAGTGTTATTTCTGTTCACTTTCGCCTCTCGTATGACCTTTTTCAGCAGGATGTTAAAAAGGACACACGACAAACTATCACCTTGTCTGAATCCTCGTTCGGTTTTAAAGGGCTTGGAATTAGGAATGTGATATGTCAGTCCACGTTTTGGTATAGCTCCCATATAACGGTAGGTCAAAATATTATATATGTTGGGTATTTTTGGCAAGAATTAGCTGTAATTTGGTATTTTTAGATACCATTGAATAGTAAATCATGTCAACGAAAGTGATCAATAAGGGTCAACTTTTTTGGATAGCCCCCCATATAAAGGTAACCCACGCTTTTCGGAATTTAGGGAGTTTGAACAGGGTTTTTACACGAATTTACTGTAATTTGGCCTTTCAATGTACATTGGGTCCTTCTATCAAAATTTGTAAATATTGGACCACTTCTTAGGATAGATTCCCCTATAACGGTACTCTCCATTATTCGGAGAGTAGTAGTTTGAATAGTGTTTACTCGAATTTACTGTCGTAGGTCCTCAGGATTTTCTGGGAAATAAATACTTTGGTTTACCTTAGCCAGAGAGTGCCAAATACCGTACCTTTTTGAATTTTTAGCACAATTTCACAACTAAAATATCAAATTATAGCCAATGCCGTTGTGTAAGCTGCATCATCTAGCGGCTGAATATGGTATTCATAAGTATTCATAAAAAAATAAATCTATATGAAATATTGAAAAAATATGCTTATTGGATTGCTTATCTTCATTTTTAAACATGGCTACCATAAATAATACTTCCTATTAAAATAGAACACTGGTAAAGTTTTTTTTTTTAATATCTATATGCAAACAATATAAAAAGTTCGTCCCTCCCGAATGAGGCACCGTTGTATTTCTGTCCAACGGCGAAACATTTCACCAGTCGACTATTCTCTTTTTTAATAAATTTTATTATTTATTTTATCACTTTTGGACATACATATCTAAAATAAAATTTTTACAAAATTAATTTAGTATAAATTTACAAATTAGAGTTTTTTTATTTCGAATTATAATGACATGTATTATTAGTTCATTAATTTGTACAATAATAATAGCTATTGTTATTTTGTTCTAATAAAACATTTTGTTTTTTACAAAATGTGAAAGTCAATTATTTTAATTTGTTCTAATTGTTTCGTTATACGTGAACTGTAAAATTAGCCAAATGATAAAAAATACAAAAATGTGATTAGTCACCCAGATATTTGATAATACACTTTACATATTTTAAATATTATTCATTGAATTCAAAAAGTAAAAAAAAAAATCAATCAATTATTTCCATGTTCGAAATAAAATAAATATTTTAATTAATAAAAATAAAACAACATGCATAACCACTAAAAACAAAAAAGATTATCATAAGAAATGTATATTATAATAAAAAACAATAAAAGCGTGACTATAAAATCAATACAATTCATAAGAGCTAGAGTTAAAGACAAATTATCCCAGGGAAAAGTTGAAAGTTCAGTTTTTTAAGGATATGAAAAAATACATTATAAGCAAAGAAAATTATGAGAAAAGCTAAATTTCATATGGGAATATTAAAAAATGTTTTAAATTCCTTGGAGCTGAGGTTTGCAAGCTGATAACTTGCGAAATATGAACATATTGCATATAATTTAAATGCATTTTTTATCTATACAACGCACGCACATGTGATCCGTGATAATGGGCCAGATAATGGACTAAACTGATTATAGGATTGTAGAACTCGTGATTTTGCTTCGTTTAGCAAAGCTTCACAGGAGCTTCTTTACAATTAAATTCCAAAGTCGAAAATTTGGAGCGTATTTGATGTATTGAAAGCTTTATTCAGAGTGAAGAAAAATAAATTGTGTGTACATATTTTTGCAAAATCGTAACCTACTACCTGAGTACTACTATAATATTAGCAAAATAAATTTATCTTCAAGTAGTAACTTCAAAACCCCCACTAGACTTGAAGTTATATAAACCAAGACATTGACAAAATCGTTGAATCTTTTGTTTCGACAAACCCTTTGTAGATATGTCTGCCACCATGTCCTCTGTTGAAATGTTCTGAATTATTATTCTTTCTTTCAATTTGCGGAATACCAGAATAAGACATTTTTATGCGTTCTCTGCGTTCCTATAACCTGATGTATTGAAAGTTGTATTCAGAGTGAAGTAAAATAAATTGTGTGTACATATTTTTACAAAATTTTAACCTACTACATGAGTACTTCTATAATATAAGCAAAGTCAATTTATCTTCAAGTATTAACTTCAACAGTATGTTTTAATAAAAAAAAACTATTTTTTGAGTCCAAATTTGAAAAGGTCCACTGAAATGCAGTAGAACCCTTCGTAAAATGCATCAGGCGGTCGCATATTTTAGAAGATTAAGGCAAACCCGCATTCCCTTAACCATACTAAAAAATCCATAATTCAAAAAACGTTTTATTTAAATAAAAAAAATAATTTGTTTTATTTTCAGATATCTTCATGCTTTATTTGTTTTTTTTTTTGCGACTATTAAACCGCACTTCAATGTGATTTGACAAGTATGCAAAGGAAACAAATGCGTTTTGATTTGACAAGTATGCAAAGGAAACAAATGCGTAATAGGAATTAATTTAAAATTATATTTCAAATACAAAATTTAAAACCGCTATAACTTTTGAGCGCAGAATCCAAATTTGTGAACGCGAACAGATTTCGAATGTCAAAAAAATTAAAAGAATTTGACATTAACAATCAAATGTAGAGGAACTTCGTGGTCCGAGGACCTTTGGTTCTTTGGTTCACTTCATAAATTTTTATGTGAAAAGATGTATATTTCACTCAATATTAAAATATTGGATGGAAGCGAAAAAAATTGGCGAGAGAAAAATACGAGCTTATATCGTTATAATCTCATTCCCACATTTAAGCATGCTTGCGGCTCAGTGATGGGCAGTGTTGCCGTTTTGACATTTCGGACCAAATTTGATCCGAAAAAACAATCAATTTGGTCCGATGATTTCAAATTTCGTTCCATTTTCATGCTAATAATTTTGGAGAATTCCGTTTGAATTCTAAAGGGGCGTCCTAAAATCTGATCTGGTCCCTTATTACGTGCATTTTGGTCCGATTTTTTCGAACGGGACCACTGATAATGAAGGTGAGTTTTTACAGCTGGAGTTGGAAACCTTCATTTTGTTGATGAAATAATAACATCAAAGACATTTAGAGCAAAACTTGAAGCAATGTGCAGTAAAAATGGGGATCTTGCGGGACTTTATCTTTCAACATAGTAATGATCCCAATCGTACTGCGCTAGATTCCAGACTTTGAGAATTTGTGGTAAATTTATAAGAAAAAGTTGAAACATGATAGCACCAGGGACACGAAAAAAACTTTAACAACGGAATGAAATCAAATATCATCCGAGTTAACCTCCAAAGTTGAATCCAAGCCTAGCAAAAAGTGTATCCTAAAAGTATTAAATTTTATAAGAATGTGTAGTATCATTATTTTTTTATCTTGTTACTCTGTACGAAAACTGGTATACATTAGTTAGTTTTAATACCCTTCACCAGGTGGAGTGTATATTAAATTTGTCATACCGTTTGCAACGTCTTCATATTTTTTTATTTTGCATTAGAATAATTAATCTATATGAAATATGAAGAAATCATTTTTAGTGGTTATACGAATATGAATTCTGCATATTGTACTTCATAAAACTTCGCCAATGCATGTCAATTCAACCCATCGAACTTTTTCATTAACTGACAACACCAGATATCCGATTTGCATCAATTTCAATAACTAAAACATTTGATTTGCATCCAATAAATTTAATTTCAAAATCACGTTCGTCGGTGCACTTAACTTCAATATTACAATTAACAAAAAATCAAAAATTTACACTATGAGGCAATTAGACATGACCGTGTTAACAATAATAAAATAATAACAGAAATAACTATGGTGCTAATAATAATTGAATTAATGTGAAACTACGCCATTTCTAATTGAACTATATGTATGAACAAGTTCATAATTTGAACAAATTATGCCATAATTTCACAGATGAACAATTCACAATTATATTTCCGAAAAATATTCATATAAATAGGCCCACTGAAACCTATTTTATACGTCACTTGTCAACAACATTCATTTCATCCCATATCGACGCATTGAGTAATCACGAAAAATGACAAAATATATATTGGCTTTTACGATTCTTTGGATTTTTGGAGGATTGGTGATTGATGCAGCTTTTGACAAAAATGCGGCCATGGATGATTTTATGGCAAAATTGGAAGAGTGCAAAACTGATGCTGGAGCCACGGATGGTAATAAAATGCATTTATAAACAAATAGAAAATTTTTTTATTCATTACAGAGTGATTGTCAGGACAGACAAATGTTGTTTTCGACAGATATTACACGATCCTTAACGAAGATATATATGTCATTTAAATATATTTTCTTTTAGCTGATGTCAAAGATATTCTAGGAAAGGTACCAGCATCAACAGCCGAAGGTAAATGCCTACGTTCGTGCATTATGAAAAAATACGAAATGGTAAGATTTTGATCGAAATTACAAATTAAACCTCAAGCTTTTCATAATTATCTCCTCTTTATTTTCTTATCCAACAGATGACTGTCAATGGCACATTTGTACCAGCTATTGCTATAAAACATGCTGAAACATTTTCAGCTGGTGATGCTGAAAAAATAAAGAAAGCCAAAGAGGTCGTCAATACCTGTGCTCGCATTAAAGTGTCTACCGATCATTGTCAAGCTGCTGAACAATATGGCAAATGTTTTATGAAGCATGCAATGGATCGCGATCTAACGCAATTCAAAGTGTAGTGCAGCATTGCGAATATGGAAAATTGCAAATCACCAAAGTTTCGGGGACCTTGCAGTTAAACTAAAATGCAAACATTTGTAATAATTTTTATATAAATTTTAAAATAAATAGTTCACTTGCAAATTTATATATGTACGAAAACGTCATTGTCTTGGGGTTGGGATGTTTGTTTACGTTTAGTTTTAAACTTTTACAATTTTTACAACGGTCAAAAATCCATATTAGACAGTCTTTCCAATTGTTTAATTTTCAAGAGGAATAGTTCACATGGATTTGCCATAGAGCTTCATGAAACTTCGTCAATAAAAAATTAGGAATTTATTCAATCCAATAAGCAGATTTTTCAAAATTTCATATAGTTTTATTTTTATGGAAAAAGCCGCTAAATGGCGAAGTTTTCATATGATATGGATCTGATATTCATACAAGGGAACAATAAAATATAATTTTTCTTGGATATCATTTCATCCCATTCCTTTTTATAGCTATTTTCGCGTTTCTTGTGCCATAATACTTTAACTATATCAAATTGGTCACATGCTTGAATATGGGAATGATATTAGGTTCGTTCGTTTACTCAAAAATTTGTACGAATTTGTACAAATTATTACAAAATGTTGTTCGTTTACCCAAAAGTCCAGTAAAAGAGAGTGAATTGAAAGAGCAGATTTGACAGTTGTGTTACTGAGTATTTGCAAATTCTTACAAGGAAAATTTACTCAGTAAGAATTTTCTTCTACCATCAGCTGATATTTAACCAGCTGTTTTGTTATGTTTTGTAAACAAAAAAAAAATCGTTCTCAAGAATATTGATTGTTTTGTGAATTTTATTTTGATTTTGTATCATTAAATACCGAAATGGATGAAGAAAACGCAAGTATTTAAAAGTAAGGTAATACAAGAGTAATTAGCGAACGATTTTTTAGGTTCCAAATCCAAACAAAAAAGTGTGCATCCCTAACATGTCTTGAACACCATCGGTTATGTCCACCCCCATATCACACAACACTTTTAAATGTTTGTGGGAAACAAACAACATCCGCTTGTTATCCATTTTTCTAATAAAACTGCTGTTTTTTAGTTTGCGCCAATTTGTTTGTTGTTTTAATCAGCTGTGTCGAAACAATCTTTTTACTGGATGTTGTTCGTTTACTTTTTGCAGTTTTCTCTCTTGAGAAGGAAAAATTCGTATTTACTCTCTGCAAATTCTTACTGAGTAAATATTACTGGGAAAGTAAACGAACGAACCTATTATGCTTGAATATGGGAATGAGATTATAACGACATAAGCGAAGTGTTTACGCGTCCATTCCATATTTCCACCATAAGGTGGAACACTTCGAAATATTCACCGAAGACCCCATAATTGATCAGAATAAAATTCTATATCGATTTATGCATGTCCGTCTGACTATCTTTGAAATCACGAAATCATTACGAAACCATATCACCAAATATTCGGTATTATAGGCATTTTTGACTCATTTTCAACCTAATTGACTGTAATTTTCTCCGTTTGGTTCTCATTAGGTGTCAAATATTCCTACAGAAAATTACCATTATATGATGGTACCACCCATTATTCGAAATTTTGCAGGTTTTAGACACGGTTTTCAACATAATTAGCTTTGAATTGGTATTTTGGATCCACTTTGGCTATCATATTTGCCTACTAAATATTATCATAGTAGGCTAGAAACCAATGATCGGTATTTTTGGGGAGCTTGAGAAGGTTTTTCAATTTAATATTTGGATTGAGTAGAAAATGTCTTTACTAAAAATTACCAACATTAGCCCAATTTTCCGAGTAGCCCCCATATAATGTATAGAACCCCCATTATTTGGTATTTTGGAGTTTTGGGCACGTTTTTTAATAGAATTGGCTCAAATTTGAATTTTAACGTTCTCATGGGGTGTCAAATTTTCCTACTAAACATGATTAATATTGGTTCACTTTTTAGGCAATACCTCATAATATGTATCCCAAATTTCGGTATTTTGTGGTGCTTGCATACTTGCTTCAACCAAATTAGCTGTAATTTTATATTTTAGATTGTCATTAAGTAGAAAATCTCCCTACCAAAAATGATCAATATTAGCCCAAGTTTCCGGGAAGCCCCCATCACAACGCTTATTCGGCATGTTTACAAGCGAATTCTTCGAAAATTCCAAATCTTCCTACCAAAAATTATTAATGTCTACAGACAATATTCATTCAATAAGTCAATTTTCAATTTTTGTTAGTTACGACTTTTTGCATTTTAGCTAACGATATATTAGGTAGTCGCATCGGCGAATCACTACAACAAAGCAACTTTTTTGGTAACATATATGTCAAAATTTGTAAACAAGGCAAATAAAATTCAATTCGCCTTGACATATCAAAGTTTAAGCAAATTTAATTCAAACAGAACAAAATGTTTTTATGCCCTATACTTTTATGTGTTGCCTCAAGAGTGTGTAGCTGCACGATATATTGATACAAGATCCTTTTCGTATATCGTTTATCATCTATCATCATCGTATATCATCTATAAACTAGAAGAATCGTTATAGTCTTGTGTGTCTGTCTGTTTATCATAATTGAAAACAAAACTAATTTTCTGTGTCGGCATCTTTCAATAATTTCCATTGTCGAATTCTGGAGATTTTGCATGTAGATTCGGTTCCTGCCTAAGACGACTTCTACTGGTTTTGGTAGTGATTGGTTTATATTTACAGACCACCATTATGAAATTATACGCAGTGACCAAAATTTTGTTTTAAAAATCTCAAATACATTTATAATACCGAATTTCTTAAAGTAAAATTGGAAAAAATAACGAAATATAAATGTTATTTAAAAAGAAATTATATTTTTTATGTTTTTAAGGCGAATTAATATTTACAACAATTTGTTTTGACATTTAATGTACAAACAACTGGGTCGATGCGACTACCTAATGCATCTTCCCTGCATCATGCTGTACAGCATTTATCATAGTATGTGTTTTTTTTTGAATGTTTGTTTATGTATGTATGACACACAACGTATGAAGAAAATCAAAATAGTTTTGATTTTGGAAAAAACCCTATCAATCTGGTGAATAATTATTCACCAGATTGAAAATGAATATTATAATTAATTAATTTTGAAAGTTGTCAGTAAATAATTTTGTACAAAAATAATAAAATTGTGACGGAATAAAAAAACAACTGAATTTACGACTCAAAATGGAAATTTTGGGACGAATGAAATTTTTTTAATTTCATTCGTAATTTTCAATTTTAATTTCGTAGAGTTTCATTTGAAATTCAAAGAAATCCATTTGAAATTCAAAGAATCCAATTTGAAATTCATAACATTTCACTTGTAATTCACAAAATTTCAGTTGTAATTCATAACAATTCATTTCAAATTCATACATATTCCTTTTGTGTTACCAATAATACTTTTCGAATTTAAAATTAAATGTTATGAAAAACAAATGGAATGTTATGTATTTCAAATCAAATGTTAAGAATTTCAAATGGAATTATTTAAATTTCAAATGGAATTTTATTAATTTCAAGTGGAATTTTATGAATTTCAAACGCAAATACTTTGAATTTCAAATGGAAGTTTATGAATTTCAAATGGAATTCTATGAATTTCGAAAAGTATTCTAGGAATTACAAAAATGAAATTCTCGAATTACAGCTGATATGTTGTGAATTGCAAATGGAATTCTCGAATTGCAAGCTATATGTTGTGAATTACAAATGTAATTCTCGAATTACATTTGATATGTTTTGAATAACATGTGAAAAAGGTGTAGTCAATCTCACATATACAAAAAGGGGTTCATCGGCATGACGGCATGATTTATAGTTTATGGGGCCCTTAACATTTGGTAACAATTGTTACCAAATATGAATAAACCTTGTCCTCAACAATTAGCAGGGGTAACACAGAAATAAAATTATGTTCACATCGCCTTTTAATTACAACACAGCGTTGTCAGGTGCACGAATACTGGTGTTGTTAGCAAACAAATGCAAACAGCGTCATCTAGCTTTTAATTTAAGAAACTGAATGCCACATTTTTTTATGTCAGTTTTGTTTCGAAAAAAAATATTATGATAGAGGGGCTAAAAATAAAAGACAAGAGTACCGGCATTTTAAAAGCTTAAAAAGTCTTGGCAATATTTCGGTAAATATATATATATATATTTAATGAAGAATATCTTTGTCCTTTATACCATCATTCTGAATCGACATCTAGTATCTGGAGTATCTGTTACAGGAACCCAATCTGATTCGAATTCGAGTGACTGATATTGATTCGAATATGCTTTCAATCTTCTAGTAAAACAGGCTATAAAATCACAAAATTGGAATTAGTGTAGCTTTAATACAACTAAATCATCATTTGTCTTCTATTCGTAAAACAACCAAAAATTTTCAGTATTTTATGAAACGGTGCAATTTGTTTATTTATTTGCATTCATGTATACACTACCAATTAAATCGGTAGTTAATTATCTTTCAATTGTTGTTAATGATTGTTTTCAAAAATTCTACTGCAGCTCATAACGGTTTTTGCATATTCTAAAATCATTGATCTATGTCTAATGGTAAATTGAAAATATAAATTTTCAGTTTATTTCATGTGACCTATAATTTAACGGAACGCAGAAACTGAAGATTCCTTCCCATAAATAGTCGCCAATTGTTTCAAAATATATTGAGTATCAATTGAATTGTTTTACTATAAACATCCAGTTATATTTTATTCAGTAATATAATATAACATATTTGTCAAAAATGGCCAAGTATTTTCTAACATTTGCAATTCTCTGTGTTGTCGGTGCGGTTTTAGTTCGTGGTGCAATCGATAAAAATGCATTAATTGCGGAATTTATGTCCAAAGGAGAAGCTTGCAAGGCAGAAACTGGTGCCACTGATGGTGAGAAAATTTAATTTCAGATATGAAGCAGGGCGCATTAATAAGGTCATCCAGGGAGATTAGCTGTTTCT